TGAAACTTGTGTTGAGAAAGACAAGTATTTAATTTGGCTGAAAGTAAATTACGTACCCATGTAAAAAAATCATAGGTTGGCCTGTGAAGTGGATGCAATATCAAAATCAATATGCCTCCGCTTTCGAAGATTATTCTCAGGTTGATCCAAAGACAAAGAATGCCATTGCTCTTGATCATCTTGATGATCAACGTTGTCGTTAGTAATAGTCATTGCTCCATGAGGCCTCTTTTGGGGACTTGTTCGTCCTAAAGACAAGGAAACCTCACTATTGACGTTGGTATTATCATTGTCATCACCACCATCATCATCAACCGTCATGACAGCTGAGGGTTCATGATCATCCACATTAGTATCATCACCATTACCATCACCATCCCGAGGGTACAGTAGGTGGACCCCACAACTCAGGAATTTGACGCATTTGGACCTCCCAACCCAATCAAATGTAAATGTTACTTCGCAGCAGCTCCCTCCATCCGGCTGTCCCCAGGATATATTCCACGGAGTGTAATAAGTGAACCACACATGAGTGGACTCCGTCATTGTCAAATAATGACCATGGGGAAATGATTCAACAAGTCTTCCATTGATCCTAACGTGCACATCGCACATCAAACGATATTCCCCACTCTCCATAAATCTGTCATCACTTTTCGTATACTCGAAAACAACACACACAACCAATCCTGCCTTCTCCCACACTAAGTTCCAAGGAATTTTAATAAACCGGGAAGAGGGGATCTCTAAAACAGGTTCATGCACTATACAACAACTGAACCACCTGGGGACTTCATTGCCAGGAAGTATAATTTCGAAACGAGAGCGCTTGAGATTCCTGCTGCATTTTTTGTAGTTAAGAATCTTGATTTGATAAGAATATTGGCATTAAACTTAACAACAATTTATATATATACATATATATATATAGAGAGAGAGAGAGAGAGAGAGAGAGAGAGCAACCTGATTTTGAAAAAAAATTCCAGCTTTGCCAGGTAATAATCACCCTTGTCCGCGCATAGTCTTTGGCAATTAGTCAAGTCTAGAGCCTGAAGCTCTGGTAACTCATCATGTTCGAATATACTTGGCAGCTTCGAAATTTTTTCCAATGATTTGCAATCGGCAAGGTTGAGGTCGTTCAGTTTTTCTGGAAGCGCTTCTGGAATTTCTCGAAGCAGCTTGCAACCAAACAAGTAAACTCTATCCAAATTGACCAATTTGCTTATGCACACAGGAAGGGCAACAAAATTGTTTCCCGAAAGATTAAGACTCAGGAAGGGACCACTTTTGGAGAGATTACACTTGTCTTGTGAAATATTTGAGTCAGCTGAAAGCGGCATTGATCCAGCTGAGGATGAAATTTCCGAGTTTATCATGTTTTGTAATGTGCCGAGTTTTGGGCACTCTCTGAGATCAATATCACTCAAATTTTGAAGATCATAAACACTGGATGATATATTTGTAAGGGATTCACAACCATATGCCCATAAACTTTCTAGTCCACTGAGATATGCAATTGATGAAGGTAATTCTCTTATGCCACTTTCTTGGATTTCCAATCCCAATCGAAAGATTAAGACTCAGGAAGGGACCACTTTTGGAGAGATTACACTTGTCTTGTGAAATATTTGAGTCAGCTGAAAGCGGCCTTGATCCAGCTGAGGATGAAATTTCCGAGTTTATCATGTTTTGTAATGTGCCGAGTTTTGGGCACTCTCTGAGATCCATATGCCCATAAACGGACTTCATTGCCAGGAAGTATAATTTCGAAACGAGAGCGCTTGAGATTCCTGCTGCATTTTTTGTAGTTAAGAATCTTGATTTGATAAGAATATTGGCATTAAACTTAACAACAATTTATATATATACATATATATATATAGAGAGAGAGAGAGAGAGAGAGAGAGAGAGAGAGCAACCTGATTTTGAAAAAAAATTCCAGCTTTGCCAGGTAATAATCACCCTTGTCCGCGCATAGTCTTTGGCAATTAGTCAAGTCTAGAGCCTGAAGCTCTGGTAACTCATCATGTTCGAATATACTTGGCAGCTTCGAAATTTTTTCCAATGATTTGCAATCGGCAAGGTTGAGGTCGTTCAGTTTTTCTGGAAGCGCTTCTGGAATTTCTCGAAGCAGCTTGCAACCAAACAAGTAAACTCTATCCAAATTGACCAATTTGCTTATGCACACAGGAAGGGCAACAAAATTGTTTCCCGAAAGATTAAGACTCAGGAAGGGACCACTTTTGGAGAGATTACACTTGTCTTGTGAAATATTTGAGTCAGCTGAAAGCGGCCTTGATCCAGCTGAGGATGAAATTTCCGAGTTTATCATGTTTTGTAATGTGCCGAGTTTTGGGCACTCTCTGAGATCCATATGCCCATAAACTTTCGAGTCCACTGAGATATGCAATTGATGAAGGTAATTCTCTTATGCCACTTTCTTGGATTTCCAATCCCCTAAGGGAATCCATCTTGTCTACAATTTCTGGGAAATTCTCAAGCCTTTTGCAACCGCTAAGAATCAACATCTCTAGAGATTTCAACCTAATCATTGGTGGAAAATTCACAAGGTTGGTGCATCTTGAAAGGTCCAATGTAGCAAGTTTATCATGAAATCCTATAGAAGAATCGACCTCAATTAAACTCTTACAACCACTAAGGGTCAAGTATTTTAAGTTTTCCATTCCAGACAAGTCAGGGATTTTTGCTAGGAATTTACAGCCTGTTAAATTTAGGGACATCAACTTCGCCAGATTCTGTAAGACCAAAAAACAAAAAGGAAATGATCAAATGATAAGGTTCCAAAATAAATAAATAATAAAAACTCTTTGAAATGATAATGGATGAAAAAAAAACTTCAAAGTACCTTACACCCGTCTCCAAGTTGTTTGATACGACTGCAAGGCATACTGAATAGGACAAGATACTTTGGTTGGAAACTGGATGGCAAATATTGCAACTCACAGTTGCCCCAATCAATCACTCTCAACTTGTTGGAGAGATAATCAACGGTATCTCCAGAAAGGCTTGCATTATGGTTTATAAAAAATTCAAGGTTCTTCATGGCTGAGAAGCATTTTGCATTCAAAGGTATCTCATCAGGTTTGGGCAAATTTACTATGATGCCTTTAAGTGTATTTGTCCCCTGTACGTAGTATTGAAAAGCAATATTATTAACCAACCAAGCCCTTTTATCAAATAAAAATACGAGTACTGTTTCAAATTTTGTTTTCTAGAGGAGATTTGATAAGAAAAATATAAGTTACTTGAAGCCTTTTCTCAACCGAATATAAGAATATGTGTAGATACATATGTATATTCTACTTACAGAATTGTCATCTAGAACCTCGCGCACATCCTCATGAAACCACAATCTGCTACGTTTTCCCGGCTCATTGGGAGATTCTTCATGAACAATATCCTTACCCATTTGTTCAAGTAAGTCGTGCATCAAAATCATATTGCATTCAAGAGTTATGATGGCATTCTCTACGAGCACCCGAATACAGTTCTCAGGAAAGTTAAGCTTAGGGCCTTTAAGTACTTGTGTCACATAGTCCACATCTTCACCCTTAAAAAAACATGCAATGTCCAGAAAAACTTGTTGCACATGATAATTCAATCCATCATAACTTGTTCTAAGTATTTTCTGAATATCTAAGTAAGGATCAGCTTCATAACTTCTTAATGTAGCATCCCAATACTCTAATTTTTGATTACGTAGATGTGAACCTAAAATTGTCAGAGCTAATGGAAGGTGTTGACCATAGGCTATTGCACGCCTTGCAAGTGTTAGCGAGATATCCCTATTATATTAGGATATTGTTTTATTTATTTCTCTTTGTATAGATATTATGTAATTAGGATACCACTTATTTTCCTAGTTTAATTCTACTAGGGTTTACATCCTGTATTATAAATACCTCCTTTTGGAGAATGAAATATATCTGAAAATATTCTACCCATATAATCACCTGGAGGCTCCTTTCTTTTGAAGGAAATCATACTGAAAAGCTCAAGTGCATCTCGATGAGCTAATTTTTTGACCTCATATATTAACTCAATTCCATGACGAGCTAGCAATCCCCTATCTCTTGTTGTTACAATAACTCTATTTCCCTTACCAAACCAACCAGTTCCAGCTAACTTTTCTAACTGATCCAACTGATTCACATCGTCAAGAATTAAGAGAATCCTCTTACGGCTCAGCCGGTTCTTGATAACATTGATTCCTTTATCAAGACTGAACAATTGGAAGTTTATGCTTCCTAGGACCTGACAAAGAAGAGCCTCTTGTAATTTGATTAGTCCTCCATACATTGATTTTTCTCTAACATCGGCCAGGAAACAGCTACCTTCAAACTTGTTTGCAATTGAATTATGAACAGCTTTCGCAATTGTTGTCTTGCCTATTCCAGGACTCCCCCATATCCCAACCATGCAATGACCATTTCCATCAACACCTAAAAGCTTATTGACATCTGTTACACAAGGCACTATTCCAACTGGGTATGCTGGCCCATCCAAATATGTGTTGTTGAGTATTTGAACTGATATCTCCTCAACGACTTTATTGATAAATTTAGCTTCATACCTACCATTTTAAAAGCATATGATAGATTTAATGTTTATTCATATATTTATATTTTCATATTTATTATAAAACCGTATGAAAAGAATAGAGATTAGCTGCTGGAATATATATTAAAAGGCCAACAGAGCGAGGAATGTTAGATATGTTGTGAAAATGGACAAACACTTTCACTCACTCCCCTAATGATCTTGTTGTTGATGGACTTTGTGACACACACAAGGATGGATGAATCACACACACACACACTAGAGAAACCAACCAAGCACAAAGTGACACAAGTATTTTAGAGGTTCAGCAATTGCCTACATCCTCTTGGTGATCCCCTTGAGAAATTCACTAATGAAAGAATAAGTTACAACTTTGGTTTACAAAGAAACCCCCTTAGAACTCTATTCTCTCCCAAGCTCTCTTTTCTCTCTCACCCCTTGCTCAACACTTGATACACTTGTGAACACTCTCACAACTCTTGGTGTTTCCCCCCTTTGGTGTCTAGACTACTCAAGACTCAACTCAGCTCTCTCTTGAACTGATTGCCCTCTCTCT